GAAAAAGTCATCTCAACAGATGTTCCAATAACAGACAGTTAAGCAAATAAAGATTGCTGCGTTGATGAGAATATAACCAAAAATTACCCGAAGCTTTCGCGGGATTATCCCTAATCAGTCACCATAGATACATACAAGCATTCTTATGGAACTAAAAGATGGACAAACTATCAACAAAATCTGATGTTAAACTCTGTGGAAAACTCGCTATAAAAAGCATATATTTTCCTTCTGTGGTTTCATGATTAGTCATTTCTAGACATTTTGATTCGAGCGTTTTCTGTATGTTCGGTGAATAATTGCATTCATGCATACATTTTTCTTTTATTTGAATAGAGGTTCGGATGTGAAGAGAATTTCAATTACAAAGAGCCTCATTTTGTGTTCGACTCGCATTCAAAACAACATGCTATCAAGAGAGTGCCTAGAGTTTTTTTTTTTTTTTCTGACCGTAAATGATCCCAACAGAGGACCGCAAATGATCCCGTTTAAAAAAAGAGTGGAATGGCTAAGATATACATTCAAACAGCTCATTTTTAATACAGCTTACGTTGAATGCTAAATTAAAGAATAAAGAACCAGAAAAAAAAGAGTAAAATTTCACTGAAATTAAACATGCATGTTATGATATCGTAGCACCTTGGAGGAGACTAGTAAACGTGCGTAAGGAAAGGATCAACTAAAAACCGAAACCTGCATAGGTGACTCAAGATTGCCGCACTTTAGAGAATCCTTAAGAGGCTTGCTCTGATATCTTCAAGGCTTTTTCACTAATCGATCATCACCCAAACACACTAGACACTACAAGCGTAAAATTAAACTAGCGCACGCCTTAATTGGTGAAAACGACAGAGAACCCATCGCCAAAATCTGATTTCCGTTGAATTCCTCGCAAACCCTCGCGACATAAAATAATGCGTTTTTTGTTCTTTCGTAAAGTTTGTCAATTGGTAGCTTTAATTACTGTTGAGTTCAAAGGGATCATTAGCAGTTTTAAAGTCTTTGCACAGCACGTGTCTTTCGTATGAAAAAAGTCGTCCCCACAGATGGGGCAATACAGGAACCTACACAGGTAACCCAAGATTGCCGCATTTTAGAGAATCTTTACGAGGCTTGCTCTGATATATTCAGGGCTTTTTCACTACTCGATCATCACGCAAAGACACTACAAGCGTAAAATTGAACAAGTATACGCCTAAATTGGTGAAAACGGCAGAGAACCTATCGCCAAAATCTAATTTCCGTTGAATTCCGTGCAAATCCTCGCGACATAAAATAATACGTGTATTGTTCTTTCTTAAAGTTTGTCAGTTGATAGCTTTAATGAATGATGAGTTTAATGGGATCATTAACGGTTTTGAGATCTTTGCACTGCACATACGTATCTTTCGTGTGAAAAAAGTCGTCCCCACAGATGGGCCGACACAGGCGGTAAAAGAAACCTGTACAGGTGAGCCAAGATTGCCGTATTTAATAGAATCCTTATGAGGCTTGATCTAATATCTTCAGGGGTTTGTAACTAATCGATCATCATGTAAAGACATTGCAAGCGTAAAATTAAAATAGGAAGCGCCTAAAATGGTGAAAACGACAGAGAACCCATCGCCAAAATCCCATTTCTGTTGAATTCCGTGCAAATCCTCGCGACATAAAATAATGCATGTATTGTTCTTTTGTAGTGCGCAAAAATATCTTCCATCTGTTTTGTACCTATAGTGTTTTCTGTATAATGCAATAAGTTCATCACTTTCATCTTATACTTGAAATTAAAATGCAAAAAAACCGGCAGAAAGAGTTATTAGGGTGGACAAGAGAAGCCAAAAAAAATTTGGTATAAAATAAAACAATGGACAGCGGTGAACGCGCGCTCTGATTGGCTACTCAAACTCTCAATATCCTTTATTATTAACCACTAGCCACCTCCTTTACAGTAAATAGTTGTTAAGTATCAACGGTAAACTTACCCCTTTTATTCATCACTGAATTTTTTTTATCAGTCCACTATCCGGCTGTTTCTATAAACTGACAGCACCCAACTCAAGAACGATGGTGTTTATTACTTGTAATCATGGCACTTCACATATCTATCTTCATGTGGCTTAAGAAACAAGCGTAGGTGACCAAAAGATTGCCGTATTTATGACGATCTT